TCACTAGATTCACAATCAGGTTCGTATTCACTGTCTGATGCATCAGACTCTGATACTACCCTTTTCCCTTTATCAATTGAGACATCACCATTAACCTGATGATTCTCCATTGTGACTGTTGTATAATAAGATCTTGTTCAAGGACCACATCAATTATAAAATATTGTAACTAACACATTAACTATCATTGAACAGTTTCCAATGCATAAACAAATGGTTTTCAAGGGCCACATCAACTTAAAAAAATTGCAACTTATACAAACTATTAACAAAGAGTTTCCAATGCATAAACACACGGTTTCGAACAAACACATAAACTATATAATATTGAATATCGACTTTTACAAATCATTCTTACCCATGAACCTTAGACTCAAATCTATAAGAATGAGTACATACCATAATGGGGAATGTCTTCATCTGCATATTGATTTCCAGTCTTCCGTCATTTGGAACGTATCATCTTGGTGCTTTGCCCTAATGGTCTTCTGCATTGCCGTAATGGTGATCGTGTTTTGCCCTAATTGTGATTTGCCCAACTGAAGCTCTGGTTTGTAAAACAAGTGACTGAAGACATCGAAGAGTCTACTGATCAACTTCCCTCCAGTAATAGGAGGAGGGTAAATGACATTATAGCCCCTCAGCTGGGTCATGTGGATGACACATGACTATGAATAGACAGAAATCTGGACTGTGGGGACTACGTAAGTGCAAATGTAATAATTTGGGGACCAATTTGATGAAATTAGAAGGTTGGAGACCAAAATGAGACAAAATAAATATTTTGGGGACCACAGCCACAATTAATCTAAAATTATAATTAGTATATAATTATACTATGTATTAAAACTAAAAAAAAAAATAAGGGGTCAAACTGTAACGGACATAATATATTTTATCTTTAATTGGAATAGTTTGATATTTTAATTTAGTCGTTTAAACAACAAAATTAAATTCCGATGGACAATTTGTATAAAAAATAATAACTTGTCGCGGAGGAAATGAAGTTGAATGAGATAAACAGTTTACGTACCAGAAAGAACAGTTTGAACACTGTTTAGGAGAATGGTGAAAGATAAGAGAATGTAGAGCTTGTTTACTGCTTCTAGGACAGGTTTGCTAGATGTGAATATTTGGGCGCTTTCACTGTGAAAAATCATAATCCAATCAACAGTGATGTCGTCGCCGCCACTATCGTAGAAAACTTGGCACCCTTTTCCATCGCCTGCACCCAACTCATTTGCAACTCGTACTCTGTGTCATATCATCACAAAAGGATTACAACAAGTGGTTTTGTTATTTTAATCTTAAGATTATAATTTAAAAAACATTAATATATTTTGGCTGATGATTTTTATCAACACGGAGTTAATTGGTTTCGATTGATTCTTACTTTGATTTGGTTAGTAATTAAATGGGTAAACTCGTTAAACTTATAAAATAAATGAGTCGATACAAATCGATCTAAGCACGACATAATCTAGTTAAACACAGCTTATACATAGGGGGTTCGATTGATTGTCGTATTAGAAATGGATAAATTGGATAAAGTAATTTAGTTTAAATCAATGCAGATGGATAAAAGACAAGATTAAATAAAGTATTAAAATAATTCGTAATTTTATCTAGTATTTGATAATACACAAGTTGAATAGTATTTATTTAATTTGGTTAGAGAATTATTTCATCGTATTAATGTTGAATTAACAACAATACCCTCTATCAACGTTTGTTATAATAATGACAATTTGATTTCATCTGTTGGAGAGTTATAATAATAAATGCGTAGAATAATACGTTTGAATTGAATTATACTATCACCTCTCTTAGTGGTATTAAAATACCTACATAATACAGGTCTATCGTACCAAAAATACAATAAATATATGATTAATAAACGTTTTTGAAATTAATACGGTAGCAAATTTAATTACCAAATAAAGTATTAAACATGATTAAATAAAAAATAATATAATATAATATTTAATCCGCTTACGCTTTTCAAATCGAGTCTAATTTATATATAATGAGTATCTGACTATAAATGAACACACATGAGTCGATATATCTTGAACAAATTGTGATACCACACAATATTATGTTTAGTTGTTGTGGTATATGACTTGGGTGCAAATTATTATTGATGGATCGTGTTGTGTTTAAACAAATTTTTGTTGATCTATTCATTTAATGACCCGTTTCATTTGGAATTGATTCAGCCTGGGTAGAATCAAAATGGGTGGAGTAAGATTGGACCAAATTGGTTAAATAAACGTGAGGCTTTGGTTTTCTACCTAAGGAATCTTGGTGGAAGCTGCTAACTACACCACGTCATAATATGCGCGCATAATTGATTATAAATCACTAAAAATTACAATTTTTTTAGTGCTCAACTTTAAAATGTATTAAATTTTTTATGCTCCGTTTATTGAAAGAAAGAAAAATAGAAAGGATAGAAAACAGGAGAAATACATTTTCTTTTCTTCAAAGATGGAAAGTAAGAATGATACACTTTCCTTCCTTTGTGTTTGGTTAAAAGGATGAAAAATAAAAATAACCAATTTTTTT